AGAGAAAGAATTTCTGAAAAGTCAATAAAAGAAACAAACAAACTCTGAACCCAAACTTATATTTTTCAAACTAAAATTGTATTGAGAAGTCATCATTTGGCTGGTTGTGCTACCAAGCAACAAAGGAGCAAATGTCACATTTCCTAACTCACAGAAGGCACATTAAAGCGTAAGAACCACTGATCTTTGTTCTGAAAACATCTCTCTAAAAAGACACAAATCACTGGAGCATGCACCGTCACCATAGGAACCGACAACATTCTTTTCTTCTTTCCGACCTCTGCCTCATAAAGTAATATCACACTTGGGTTCATTGTAACGAGAATCTAACAAAAGCATCCACACTAATTTTAATTCGGTTTCCCACTGGGAACAAGGAAGAACAAAGTGAATTTTCAACCAAACCGAACCTGATTTTATTAGCACGGAAACACTTTAACATGAGTGTGCAAATATCTACTGAACATGAAGAGATGTTTTAAATGTCGGATAAAAAGCCTATGTTTGTGTTCCATACATTGTAATGATATTGTGAGATATAGTTTCTTACAGCAGCTGCAACAACATGTCCAAACTATGTTTAGCCACTTGGGGGTGGGGAATGCTTTTTATTTTAAAACTAACAATTGATTAAACACATATATTTTGCACATACATTTGTTGTTGTGATTTCAACTATTGCTTGTGATTCTAATATTTGCTATTTTTAAAATGTTTAATTTCTATTGATGTAAAGCACTTTGCAAAGTTTATGTCTGTAAAAGGTGTAATAAAAATGACTTCAATTAATATATGACACTAATGCAATGGCTGTAACTGCTTCTCTTTGGTGAGGCATCTGATCGATTGATCAGTTGATGATGATGCTACTCGCAACTAGTTTCAGCCAAAACCACCTGCTCAAAGAAATCCACCTTTAATGAAAGGCAGTAATTCCTCCCTTGTATCAAACTTGACAGTAATCCCATGCACAACAATCGTAAACATTGTCTGTCTGCCATTTGGCACTGAACAGGCAGTGGGTTTCTGTCAGATACCTGCAGCAGCAGAAAATTATGCAGTGAGATTGGTGAGATTAAACCAAAGTTCATCTCAGTAAAGCTGATTCTCTGAAGGTTCACTTCAAATGGCCCAAAGCACATTGTCCCATAGTTGTCACAATGTCATCTGATTGTTATTATAATATTACAAACATAACACACAAACATGTATCACACAGCATGTTGGACATACAGTAACTAATGTGAAGATGACAGTTGTCAGACAAAGGCCTGAACTCAATTCAGAAGGAATATCAAGATAAAAATGTTCATATCAGTCGATATTGATAATTATCACGAGAAATGACACACTGTGATTTATTTTAGGTTTAAAGACTGATTTTTGCTCCTGACTAAAAACTGTGGTTTAATAACTATCACGTGATCACCGCAGCAGAATTAATATGTCACTTCCTGCCAGTGTCTGCTGCACGACCCCTCACCTGAATCCTGCAGATGATTTGTTGCTGTTGTGACCCCCCCCAGGTGTGATAACAGTTGGTAAAATGACCCTGTTCATAACTTGCATCAACATTTGATCACAAGTGTTTGAGTATGTTGGTTCATACCTGGCATCAGTATGCAGCTCCACATGTGTCTCCACTGACCACTTGTGATCAGATCTCACTTCTCCACTCTATATGCAAATTAACATCCTAACTCAAATTGCTTTATTCTTATAAGGGAGAGTTTTCATGTCACGCTGGTTCCCACGTAACAAAATACACAAACAGTCAAGCACACAGAGAGAGCACTAGCATCTCACATGTAATTTAAACCTGAACAACATTTTTGTCTTGCTATTAAAGGGACAGGGGATTTCTCTAGATGTGCTGAGCAGAAGGCCTCTATTATCCACAGATGGCTTCATGAACTGCAGGGCATTCGCATGGCAATAAAGAAAACACTAACTATGACATGAATTACCACACTCAATCTCCACAGTCAAAGCACACAGGCACAGTGGGCTGAAAATAGGGTCTGACAGGAGTGTAAAGATGAATGAAGTAAAAACGCAGGGGGAGTTCCTATTCAAACTGTAATGACCTGTTAGAATTCAAAATATAAAGTCTAGAGGCACATCAGACCATCTGAAGTAGTTTTCTCTGTGATGCAGCAGGGGGCGCTCACTATCAGCTTGACCTATAGCATGCCCTCTTCAACTATAAGTAAAGTAAGTCAGTAATGTTTTGTTGTTATGCCACGAAAGTGGAGGACGGCAGATCAATGTTCAGTGTTCAACCTGGTCTCATTGCATGCCTGTAAACTCTAAACATGTGTGTCATGTCAAATCTCTTCAATCTTAATTTTTGGAAAACGTGACAGCCTTAGTACTTTATCAGAGCTAATCACTGTGAATCTAGCAGTGGAACAAACACTTCATGTTTTAGAAAGTAACACCAATGTTGACATGAGCAACAACTTCACAAACTCTGCTCCTCCCTTGGATTGAAGGAAAACGATACGCAACTAGAACTACTGCATTTTTGTACGCATCCACCAACCAGTGCAGTTTCTGTTTACATATTTCTACATACTTTTTTTCCTGATTAATATAAAGTCACTGTGACCTTTGACCACTGATAACTTTATCTGGAATCTTAGTCCAAGTGACAACTGATCAAAACGTGAAGAAACTCTCTCAAGCAGTCTTCAGATATCACATTTAAGAGGCCAAAAACACAGAATCTATTCAGTTTCTCAGTGAGTCCAGGTGAATTGTAACAGATATAATGAAATTCCCTTCGGGCGGTCAGAATATATCACATTCACCAGGATGTGAGGTCACTTTGACCTTGACCTTTGACCTCCAAGCACCAAACTCTAATCAGTTCATCTTTGAGTCCAAGTGAACATTTTTTGTTGTTGTTAATTACTCTTGTTGAGGGTGAAGGAAAGAGGATGTAGCACCTTGTTAAGCCCTATGAGACTAATTCTGATTTGTGAATATGGGCTATACAAATAAAATTTGATTGATTGAGGTGTAAATGTATTAATTAGCAGCTGTACTTTGCCTGGGTGGCCCACATTTCCATAATTGAATAAAAACTGAATTAAAAAAAGAAAATAAAGCAGTTTTAAATTCAAAGGACACAAATGTCTAGCGTTTTAACAGTTGGTCTTGAAGGAAACTGAGTGATTTTTTTAGAGAGGAATAGATTTGCAGCTTTACAGAAAGGTGCATACTTCGGTGGATTTAAGTGACAAACTTAAATCCACAGAGCTGAATTCTCTTAAAGCTCCCCTCTCTCACTCTCTTATCTGTCTCTGCCTCTAATTCTCCTCGTCTTTCACCCATTCTGCACTAACATTGAGTATTGGATTCTCAAAGTGCTTGTGAAGTGATTCTCCATCTCTCACTCACTTTCAATGTCTGTCCTTCACTGTCTGTCTGAGCCAACACTCAATCAGTTAGTCTCACACACACACAAACGTACACACACACTTGGCCATTACAAATGACTGTTGATTCAAAGTGTCTAATGATTTGAGACCAGCAGTGGCATTGTTGTAGTATCACTCTGCGGTTCATATCCAAGCAACACAAATCCTACAGGACTTAGCTTTCTTTTTGCACTCAGACCTACAAACAGACACACAACTAGTAACACAGACAGGAGCACACACACTTGTTATACTGTTACGAATTATTTTGAGTGCCTTTTTAAAAATCCATATATTGTCACATTTACATTGTCCCTAATCACATCTGTGATAAAACTGTCTACTACTTTACTATATCGGTCAGAAGTAATGCTTAAAATAACTGAGTTTTTGTATATTGTGTGTGCAATACAAAATAGCACTGGTTACTGGAGCACAACTGAAAAACCAGAAATGGATCACATATCACCAGTCGTGCATATCTGTGTCCCCACACATCTCTCAGCTGAGCTATCTCTGCCAAATATCACCCCACTGATTGGCTAAGTGTGATAGCTGATGAGCACCAGCAGGCAGCCAGCTCCAAAGATTCTGCCCTTGATCCATAAACATCAGTGAAGTTCTAAATTTCAAAAATAGAGTGGATGGTTCCACATCAGATCTGTATCACAGAGAAGTTTCATCATTGCCAAAATGACAAGAGAATTTTTTCCCACTAGTTTGACAGACGCTGCTAAAACACATAAAAAACATCACTTTTGAAGCACTAAGTGTCCCCAGCATCATGAAGCTTGTGTCAGAGACACAGGAGAATATGGGCATGGACTTAAATGACAAACGCAAACAAGACAAAGTCGGAGTCTGTGTACAAACAGTCTCTTTTCTATGGCAAATCTTAAAATGTTACTTCTCTAACAACTTGTACTGTGTCATCAATAGGTGAATCACTATTGAATGCCACAGTGCCTTCAATTTTTCATAAAGTACCCACTGGGCACTGAGGGTTTTTTGATAGACTGTGAACTCATGAAGAACAGGGAGTACAATCACCATAATCACTAAATATCTTTATAGATAATGTGTTGTGCTGACTGATTACCTAGCATTATCTAAAAAGTTTGAAAATTAGTACATGGAGCATTTTTAAATTCAATGGTAAATAACTGCACATGTTTAGTTTAGAGTATATTTATGAAGTAATCCATTATATATAGATATAGATATATAGCTTTTGGTCTACAGTACCTGGTTTCCTAGGTAACATGTGATGGAAGACTCTGTAAAGCTAAAATCAGCTACACAAAAACTGTTTTGTATTTTGCTAGATGCTTAAGTGTTACGCACCACAGATTGAATAATCTACTGATCTTAATGTTTAAATCTTTAATTCAAACATTAACATTAATTCTTTACCCCATTCATAACGTAATCCCACACTGCTGCTAAACTCCGCCCCAGGAAAGGTGCTGCCCTAACAGCAGCGTTTCCTGTCCCATTTCCCTCCCAGCACCCAGGTCATTGATTAATCTTTGGGGCAACGTGTAGAGGGGCCCATGTGTCCCTGAAAAATCTTACCGGTGGCTGCTGAGAGTTGAGCACCCCCCTCTTGGTGGACCCCCCTCGGGAGCTGAGCCTCTTCCACGACTCTGAGAACCGCCCCCTGGTGGTGGGACGCCCCGGCCCAGATGTCCCGGACGCAACAGATGAATCATCCCGGGTGGAGAACGGCCGCTCTCTTTGCAGCTCCCTCCGCTCGGCCCACTTCTTCTTGGAAGCCATTGGTGTTAAAAATAAAATTTGGTCAAAGAGATGTGGGAAGTGGGGCAGCCACGCTGAGTTCTCTAATAAAACTGGTGCAACAGGTGGCGTCTCCACTTCATTCTTAATTCTTCTGCTTCCTCCTGATCCGCTCAGTTTCTCTCCTTTTTCTTTAAGTGTTCTCAGGGGAAGATTTTGACTCCAGTTTCTTGGACTTTTTTCCTTCTCCTGAGCTCTTGATCAAAGAGAGCGAGACAGCAGATCTTCACCTGAGCTGCTGCACTCCTGTGCTCTTCTTTTCTTCCCTGTAGCCTTCCTCTGGGAGGGACGAGAGTCAGAGAGGAGAGGTGGAGAAGCAGCAGAAGGTGCTGTCTGCACCCTGTTGCATGTGCTGTTACTGTGGCTCGGCTGTTGATGCTGTTTTCCCTCCACGCGGGGAGAGAGAGAGGGAGAGAAACAGGGAAACAAGGGAAGAGAAAGCGAGGGATGGAGGGAGAGAGCGAAGGGGAGGAGGAGAAGGAGGGGGTTTGAGGGTGGGATATAAAGATCAGGGTGAAAGGGACTTTAACATGGAGACAAAATAATATCAAGAAAAGAGAGTGGGCAAGAAAAGAACAACAGAAGAAAGCGAGAGAGGTGGAGAGAGGAAAAAAGAAAAGGCTTGCAGACAAAGAAAACAAAGAAACAAGCAATAGTCTCTGGAGTGCAGTGTTCCTGTTGAGTATAGCGCAGAGCTGCTTTGAGCCGACTGAGAAGCACAGAGACAGACACACTGCTCAGTAAGTCACTCTCTCTCTCACTGAGCACTGTGCCTTGAATATCCACAGCTACTAAACCTCCATCTCCTCCCTCTCATCTTCTTCGTGCTCCCCAAGCTTTTATACACAACCTCTCTCTTCTTTGTGGGTTGCATGTTTCCCCCTCTTCTTCTTTTTCTTTCTCTCCTCCCTCTTTGATGCACTTGGTTCACAGTTCATGAGTTAAGCCACCCGAGCATCACTTTCTCTGGTGCAATTCAAGAGTAGAGAGGGATACCAAATAAACCTGGCAGTTGTTATTTCTCGTCTTTTTCCAAGGTGTAGTTGCTTTCCCAGTTTTCTTTTTCTTCTCTCACTTCACAAGTCTTCACATGTGCTTACAGGGGTGTCACGCTGTGGAGGTGTGGAGTTGACAGAAGGTGAGAATTTAAGTAATTTCTTCAGGTGCAGTGGTGAGAAAAAACAATTAAGGTAATCTTAAATGCACTTTTCTCTGTTTTGGCCAAAGAGGAAGAGATAGAGACAGAGTTAGACCGAGAGAGAGAGCACAGAGGATAGTGGGACAGAGAAGAGGAGCCAGAGTAAGGAGAGGTGACAGTGTCTAAACACAAGGGACAATGTTGTCGTCGCTCCGGCAACAGCTAACCACCTGGGAGTACACTCTACTGTGTATTTATTAGAGAGTGTATGTGTGTGTGTGTGTGTGTGTGTGTGTGTGTGTGTGTGTGTGTGTGTGTGTGTGTGTGTCTGTGTGTGTGTGAGAGGTAGTGTGACTGAATAAGTGAGAGACAGAGAAAGTGAAAAGGCAGAACAGAAATTCCCTGAAGGATGAGAGGCGGTGAACAAGTGACAGTGGGAGAACGAGAGAAGGACTGATGAAGAAAGACGGTGGGAGTGAAAACTCAATTTTGATCAAACGCAGAATAAAAGGACAGGGACAGGTACTGAATGACTGACACTGACGATCCCATGTATTGGATCAAAAAAGCTAAATGGAGACAGAAAAGTGCTAAATGCTGGCGTGAGTTGTAAAATTCTTCAAAAATCGATCAGCTGATCATGAATGACTTAGTGTAACTAACACAACAACAACAAAAACCACTGGACCCCCCCAGCAAACAATGAGCAGATTGGCTGATTGATGAAAATTGAAAATTAAAGGGCAAGAATAATATTAATTTACAGTTTGACACATTTAAGTATAAATGCCAAACATTGACTAGGTTCTCCAATAACACAGATTTACTGTTTCCTATCACTATAAACAGATCTGGATTTGGATTTTTGTACATAACACATTTTGAGTAATCTCTATCTAAGTATGTAGGAGATAATAATGGCATAAATCAATTAACAATGAGCGACTTACTTATAATTAAAATGATCATAGATGCACAATGTACTTTTTTTTTTGCTGAGTAAACAGTCAAGTTCTCTACAACATCCCAGAAAGATGTTTTTTGACCCTTGGCAGCCGTTTTGACATGAAATAGCAGGTAACCACCAGGGTTACTAATCACATCAAGGATACGCTCTATTTATATAGAGCCATAAGTAACATGATCAGTAACTCCAGTGGTTATCTACTATTTCATGTCAAAATGGCTGCCATGAAAAAGGTGTATTCTAAGCACAAACTTTAATTAAAAGGAATATGATGCATAAAACACAGATGGCTTTAAAGCCACAGGGAACCTTTTTGATTACGGAGACCGAGAGAGCTCAACACATGCAGATAGAAATAACTATAACTTCATCGATTTGATGACACATGACGCTGCAAAAAAGTCACAACACATACAAATATAGAAAAGTGCTGCAAATAGTGTAAATGACACCGGAACATTTTCCAGGGAACCATCAAAGTGATGAACCTGGTTGTAGTTCAATGCTTTGGTTCCCTGGAAACATTTCTCCAATTTACAGCTTGTTTCTGTATTTGCACATGTTGTGACTTTTTGTTTTCATCAAATTGATGACGTTGTTTTCTTCATTTGCAGGAGTTTTTTCTACTTGCATGAGTTTTCTTCATTTGCAGTGCCTTCAGCTCTCTTGGTCAACTCATCCACCAGCTACACTAACAGCAGTTCATACTCAGCTTGGTTATTCACTGTAAATAAGCTACATTATAATTCATGACGTGAAATCTAAAGCTAAATTAGCTCTTAGAATACAAAGCTTGACATGGGGCAGTTAGCCTGCGTAGCCTTTAGCTCTTTAGCCTGAACAGGACAACTTTAGTGGTAGTGCTGGATGTTTGTGGATGTTTTACCTCAGCCTGTAACACCCAGTGGATCAAGTTTGCTAAGTCATGCCACATTTTTTAAGCTCCCTGCCACACACAGGCTTCATTAATAGCCTAATTAGCTAGGGCTAGTTTTAGCATGCTAATGACGTGCTAATGATTCCCTGAGGCTGTTGCTAATCTTCACGGCCGAACAACAACATATCAATAACAAGCTGCAAAGTGCTCAACACAGTCAGAGTGGGTGTAAGTAGTTCACCGGTATCTACCTGTCAGAGGGTGTGAGCGGGAGGAACACCACCAGTCGGTGTTCGAGTCCTCCACGTGGCGGCTAAAGGTGTCCTCTCTGTCGTGACCGCTAGGAGGTGCTAAAGTCAAACGTTCTCTAAGTCTGGACACACTTTGATTCAACAGTTTCAGCTTTAGAATGAAACTGTTTCATTTTCATAACAATCAACTCTGGAAACACTCAAGTGAAGCTGCTGGTGGTTCTTCAGAAGCCTCGACTTTATTGGACATAAACTTCTAAATAGATAAATACATATCTCTACAAACAATATGTCCAAAGTGGGAGGTGTACATTGTGCTGATGTTCTGTATTTTTATCATTTCTTTTGTTTTGATCCTTTTGCCTCTTTTATGTTCTTGTCCATCTCATTCTGACTGTCTGCTGCTGTAACAATGGAATTCCCCAATGTGGGATCAATAAAGTCTTATTTTATCTTATCTGAGCTCAGCTGGATTTGAGACTATTCAACAACAGAAACACACAATTACATGGTAGTTTGTCCAGCATTTCAAAAGACATCACATTAGATAAGATTGATGTATTAATATATTTCAAATATATTTGAATAAAACACAAACTTGCTGTAGAATTTATTTACTGGACTTAGGGGAAAATGGTGACACAGGGCTAAAGAGGTCGAAAAACCTTGAGACACAGAGAAGGGAAGTAAAGATGAGATGAGTGGCAGGTTCACCTGATGAAGCTTGGTTAACATTTGTCATGTTGTGTTTAAAGTTTGAACTAGTCCTGTAACGTGGAGACTAGTATTTACATCTGCCTCTGCCCTGTGGCACTACCACCCACTTTCTTAAACATTAAAGATCCACCTACGCAGGGTTGTGTGGTTGCCATGGTAACTAACGTGAACGCTTCATTCTAATCCTCCCATTTATCGCCATGTGCACTCATGTACAATTTCACACCATTACATCCACACATTCACCCACACTGGCAGCACACAACAAGTCGCCATCAAAAAGAATCCCACACACGCACATTGACGTGCACACAAATACACAAACAATCTCACAGGATCACTAACTGAACTCCTACAAAGGTAAAAAAGTTGTATGGATTCTAGAAGAATCATAAGAAGATATTTTTTTCACTTTCAGGTAGTGTAGGTAGGTACATGTTCAGTAAATGGTGCAACACCAAATAAATGAAATTCATTATTAAAAATCCACAGACCTGATAAACATGTACCCCCATTCAATTCCAGGTCATTTTATTTAAAAGGAAACTTTTTGGAGAGTCAGAGGATTTTTAATTGGCCGTCTGATGAGCAGGATATTTTTCTGGGGGTTGCGTAAAGTGTCAAGCTCTGACTTGGTAACCGAAAAAAACCCAGAAAAGAGCAGAGTGCACCAGTGGGCAGCTACCATTAGCCGAGGAAAATAACAAAATACTTGAGAGAAATTGCACAGTTGGTTTCCAATCTCTTAAATAAATACTAATTGCCAGACTTTGAACAAGACATTACTCACGGGTCTTGAAGGTTGTTGATGGTCAAACTGTATCTCTTTCCCAAAGACATGGATATATTTATTTAAATGCTCTAAATGCCTTTTTCACAGCACATTTTGACGATTAGAAAAAGCACAGATTTCACTGAAGCCGTTAACAATGGTTCCGATTTGTTCAACTCTGACATGACATGTGATTCTGACCCAGCAGCACGACCCTGAAACTGAAGCAGCTAAACGGAATTCAGCCAGTGTTCATTTTATTATTCAGACCTGTGACATTCCTGCAATAACATGTAATAAAATGTCTGCTGTGAAATAGGCCTATGGTGAAATGTGAACTACACAGAGCTGGAGCTGCTGATGCAACAACTGTCACATACAACCACATGGAGGAAATCTGACATGTCATTATTTCAATATATTTACAAACACATATCGAGTTTGTGACAAATTATTGATGCTCAATGAAACATGTATACATTGCACACATTTCAAAGCAGCAAAATGATGCGATGTTGCTCGTGTTTTTTCCTCCTTAAATTGCTGGTAATTCAATTTTTTGACTTTCTGATAAATTATTTAGCAGCAGTAAAAGCAACAGTTCAGACGAGTTTGCAAATGAGCTTCTAAAATCAAGTCTGATCCCAAATTAATTTTCTGTCTCTGATGTTGCAGATCGTAGTAGAACAGAAAGAGAGTGTCCTACCTTCATCTCTGTGCACAGCGGGGTCAGGACCCTTCTGGTGTGAGATTTCCTCGGCATTTTCCTCTGGAGGACAAAATCAGAGAGAGATAAATAAATAATGTTTTTCTTTCTACTAATATGAAAGTGGTGGTTTAAATTAATCACTTAATTACTTACACAGCACTGTGTGCTCATTTAGTGCCTCACTCATCAAACTAAAGTTTTATTCTAATTTCCAAACTACTTCAATTTTTGACAAGATGAAAATGATCAAAACATCTGAATCTTTAAATCTCTTTTTTAAATAGTGTTGTCATGTACATATTTTAAAAGGAGCCGTTGATTCTGCAGTCTTCATACTGTAGGTATGATGCAATGTGTTGAAAACATTCACAGATGCTTTTCAATTTATTTACACTGAGGTGACACGACTAAACTCCCCTAACGACAATTTCTATTTCTATTCTCACAACTTAATTGGGACTTAAAGGTCTGGCTTGTGGGTCTGTTCAAATGCACAGAGTCAACTTTACCAAACTGCATTAGATCAAAAACTTGGTGTGATGTAAACGTGGTAGTTCGCTCTGTTTGGGTAGCCTCACAGCTACAGCTCAGCAGCCTCTGTAAAACTGCTGCGGTCTTTCTGTGTGGACAAGCCTGCGTGGGTTTCCTCGCTGGTGTCCTCCCACAGTCCAAAGACATGAAGGTTGAGATTAATTGACAACTCAAATTATCCTGTAGGAGTGAGTGGTTGTTTGTCTCTTTATAATCAACCAGTCCAACTGACATATGTTATTATACCAGACTCTGGTAAATTAGAAAGTAATCTACATCTGCTACCTTAAGGATTTCTGTATTGATTCAGCATCATGGTGCGGAAATCCTTGTTTTTCATTAGCAATGCAAAGGTAGGTATAGCATGAGGTAGGAGGAGCATGAAGGAGATCAAACTTAATTCGAGGGAGGAGAGAAAAGTGAACAGTTCAGAGTGTAGCCTGCTTCTCTCCCAATGTCCACTGGGATTGGCTTTAGCCACCCCTTGACTCTTAAATGATAAGAAGATCAGAAGATTGGACGGGTGGATGGATGGATGAATGGATGGATGGATGGATGAATGAATGGATGGATGGATGAAATTGTTTCTTCTTGTTCTTTCTTGTGTTATCTTTCCATATGAAGGATAAGAAGATCAGCTAATGATTAGGTGGATGGATGAATTAATGGATGAATGGATAACATTCTTTCTTGTGTTATCCTTCCATACGATGTGGATAGGGAGGGGATCTAATAACCTCTGACACAAACTTTGCAGCCACACTTTGACTTAAGGAAGAACTGCAGAATTTGGTGGTGAAAGGTCAATGTCACCTCGACCTTGAAACACATGCTTTTGCCAAAATCAAAAGAATCGATAGGCTTATTAACAGAAAACATGTCCTCAGTTCATGTCATATATGAATCTTGACGGATGAGCCTTGACAGACAAAGATGTAATCAGTAACTTTACTGGTGAGGCAGTAGCTCTGTTTTTCCAGTGATGAGCGGTGTACTCGGAGTTGTCACTGAAAAGAGCAAATCAATGTAGAAAAGCACTGTAATGGATTCAGGATTGTCTTGAACTTGAAGTGGTCTGTGACAAGCAGCTCGTCCAAATCTTTCCCACAAGTTTGACTTTATCTTGTCACAATCGCACATCGCCACCAAGGAGAAAATCCTTCTCCTACACTTTCTTGAAACCAGCTCGATCTTGTGGTAAAAAATTAGGGGCAGTAATAAACAATATGGCATTTACCACACTGACGATTTACCTCTGTCTCTCCTGCCATATCTTAACACTAATTACTGCTTCCTCTCTCTGTGCGACAGAAAGGTTGGGGATGCATTTTTAAGCAGGCTGATGCCATCAATAATTCACGCACGCCATCCACAGACAATATGTGTGCTTCTGTTTGCCAGAATTTGTGAATTTCTGTCAAACGCGTCTGCTTTGTTCATCAGGTACGTGTATTTAGAGTATTCTCTCATGTTGTTCCAGCATTTCTGTGGCTGTCTGTTAATTCAGTTACTCGTCTCGCTGTGGAGCTGTAATGACCAAGAAGCGAGAAGTGTCACCAAAACTGTCCATGCTGCTGCAGAAACTCCTACACATGCCACAGGCTGTTTGACAACAGTGTAAATAACCAGCAACGCCATGAAATCCTCAATATGTTCACGAAATGATGCATTCGTAATTTTGTGTGTGTGTGTGATTCAATGACTCATGCTGGCTTTCCATCGCACACACTGTAATGACGGACAGATCGTCTGTCAACTTGGAGGCAAGTCACTAATACGCAAATCACAGAGAAGATGCCAAATCATGTTAAAAAAAACACTCACACGTGTATTTTCTCTGTAATGATGATTCTCCTCTTTCCAGGTTGAGATCAAGACTTCTGCTATATCATGGAAAATAAAATAGATTCAATTTTAAGACGATGCTCAGCCCTCAGTCAGCGTGAGAGAAAATCCTCTTGTGTTTAAGTTGTAACTTTTAGAGGTGTGAACTAGAAAAACTGAGAGGAGACAGATGGTTGCATTATTTGAATTTCAATCTAGAGAAACAAATTCACAGATTTAAGTAAAAACTCAACACGGCCGCTCTGATTAGGAGACGGAGAATCCCTCAGAGGATTGTTGTGAATGAGCCAAATCCATGTTTTATCAGACTAACACAGAGCAACCCACTGCGGATGATTTATACATAGAGAGCATATGGTCGCTTCAGTGTCCAATGGCCAACAGATGGAGGGGCTAAGCAAGAAAGAGAGGGGGAATACGGGGAGACGACTATCATTTATTCAGCGTACCAGCAGCCGACAACTTCTCAGCACTGATCTGTTCCTGTAGCTTCCATCATACAATTT